ACGTCCTCCGCATCCATGGCGAGGAGCTCCCCTTCCTTTCCGAGCACGAGCTGCCCGAGAAGGCGCGCGAGAAGGAAGCCCGCGTCGTCTCCTCCGATGACGCCGTCGCGGCCACCAGCTCATCCTCGACTGTCGTGCCCACACCGGGCGCGCCACCACCGCCCGCTGTAGCCGGCGCGAAGTCCGCGGCACCCGCGCCGATGCAGGGAGTTGCAGGGGGAGGAGGCGGAGGAGGAGCCGCGGCGCCTGCGGGGTTCCCGGAGGAACACGTCAAGGGGCTGATGGATTTGGGCGTGTCGAGGGAGGAGGCCGTGGCGGTGCTGGCGCAGTGTGGGGGGAACGCGGATTTGGCCGCGAGCTTGCTGTTCGGAGGTTAAAGAGAGGGACTTTGATGATTATTTATGATGACTAGAGGAATTAGTAACAGGGTCTCGTCAAAAAGGGTTATCGTCGCGCAAGGGCAACGCGGCGCGGGCCGTCGCGAGATTGTTGTGGACGGGGCCCTGGGCCGCCGTCATCGCCCGTGGGATGCTGTTGTTTCGTCTCTTCCACCCCAACAGTCGCGATGTCTCCCCAAAAAAGATAGGGTGAAGTCAAAAACCCAGTTTTCTTCAACGCGCGATCTGCAATCGTCCTTTCCACAACCCTCATCCTTCACCGCACCGTCCTCACATCCATCATGTCCACGTACAAGGTCGCCGACATCACCCTTGCCGACTGGGGCCGCAAGGAGATCGAGATCGCCGAGGTCGAGATGCCCGGTGAGTGTCCATTGCAGTGCTGGGGAGGGACATTCGGGACGTGACGAGGTCTTTGATCCGTGGACAGGGGGTTCGTTGGCAACCCCGTCGCTGCACCGTGCGGGCTGTAATTGCGAGGGTCGACCAGTGGGTGCATGTGGAAGGGCCAGCGTGTTATTCCCGAGACGCGACGGTGGACTGACCTTCTTCCTTAATGACAGGTCTTATGGAGCTCCGCGCCCGCTACGGCCCGAAGCAGCCTCTGAAGGGTGCCCGTATCGCCGGGTGCCTGCACATGACCATCCAGAGTGAGTTTTTCTGCTTTGCCTCTTTGAGGTGGCCAGAAGGCGCTGATCGTCGTCCATTACAGCCGCTGTCCTCATCGAGACCCTCACCGCTCTCGGCGCCGAGGTCACCTGGTCGTCCTGCAACATCTTCTCGACCCAGGACCAGGCCGCCGCCGCCATCGCCGCGACCGGTGTCCCGGTTTTCGCCTGGAAGGGCGAGACCGACGAGGAGTACGAGTGGTGCATCGAGCAGACCATCAAGGGCTTCAAGAACGGCCAGCCCCTTAACATGATCCTCGACGACGGCGGTGACCTCACCAACCTTGTCCACAAGAACTACCCCGAGCTCCTCCCCGGCATCCGCGGCGTCTCCGAGGAGACCACTACGGGTGTCCACAACCTCTACAAGATGCTCGCCAAGGGTGACCTCAAGATCCCGGCCATTAACGTCAACGACTCGGTCACTAAGTCCAAGTTCGACAACCTTTACGGCTGCCGCGAGTCCCTCATCGACGGCATCAAGCGCGCCACCGACGTCATGATCGCCGGAAAGGTCTCGGTCGTGGCCGGCTACGGCGACGTCGGCAAGGGCTGTGCGGCCGCCTTGAAGGTTATGGGATCCCGCGTCATTGTGACCGAGATCGACCCCATCAACGCGCTCCAGGCCTCCATGGAGGGCTACGAGGTCACAACTATGGAGGAGGCCGTCAAGGAGGCCAACATTTTCGTTACGACCACCGGCTGCAGGGACATCATCACCGCCGACCACTTCCAGCACATGAAGGATGACGCCATCGTCTGCAACATTGGCCACTTCGACATTGAGATCGACGTGGCCTGGCTCAAGGCCAACGCGACCAAGAAGGTCAACATCAAGCCCCAGGTCGACCGCTTCACCATGCCCTCGGGCCGTCACATCATCCTCCTCGCCGAGGGCCGTCTCGTCAACCTCGGATGCGCGACGGGCCACCCGTCGTTCGTCATGTCCAACTCGTTCACGAACCAGGTCCTGGCGCAGATTGCGCTTTGGACCGACAGCGCCAAGTACCCGCTCGGCGTCCACCTCCTCCCTAAGAAGCTTGACGAGGAGGTCGCGGCCGCGCACTTGGCCAAGCTGGGCGTTAAGCTCACCAAGATGACCAAGGTGCAGTCCGAGTACCTCGGCCTCCCCGTCGACGGCCCGTACAAGCTCGACCAGTACCGCTACTAGGTGGATGGGATAGACGTCGGGATATTTAACCCCTTGTCACGATCACATTGCTTGCTTTGTCGGATGTTGTAGAACAGTCGATAGTTTTTCGATTGGTGTTTTTCGAGTTCCGGCTGCGTGTCGCCGACTCATGTTGGATATTCCTTTGATTTAATTTAGTTTTTTGGTCGGCTCGGTGTTCATATCACCAACTTATGTAACTCTCATTCAATCAAGATTAAAGAGCTCTCGGTACAGTTCTTCGCGAATGTTTTCATACTGGGCCTGGTTACAGAGCACGGAATTTATATAATTTATTTCCAAACGTCGCATACAAATGCCACAACCGCATTCTAAGTCTCTGCAGCAACTGCCCTCGCGATATCATCCGCTGTGATTTTTGCCAGAAGCTCTGCCACTAGCGTCATGTCCTCCAGCTCCCTGTACGACGCCTCATGCAGGTCCATCTTGGCTGGAAGCGTGACCTCCAGCTGCCGCATGACCTCTTCACATCGCCCCCGAACCGGCTGCGGCAGATCTGAAAAGTCGCCGTCCTCCCTCGCCCCGCTCTCTATAACTTCATCCTCCATCGCTGCGACGCCCCCATCGAGTCTAAACTCATCCGGCACGCTCCCGACGTCCGCGTCCGCTGGCCGTAACAGGCTGTCCGCCCCGAACACCTTCGAGATGAACCCGGAAGTGGGACCAGGTAGGACGTGAAGAGCAGAATGCGGCAGCTGATGCACCTTGGCCGGCGTCGTGCTCCCACCTTGCTCTCCACTCAGCTGCCGTACCCCATTCACCACGCCCGCATCAAATAGCGCTCTCGTCCTGGCCTCGATATCCTGCTGCAATACATTCCCCTCAAACGCCATCATAATGCCCTTCCCCGCGAACCGATCGCCCATTAAACTGACGAGACCGACGCAATCCTGCAGCATCGCGCAGGCCTCGCGACTGAACGCGCGCATCTGATCCGGGGTTGACAGTGGGCAAGGGCAATTGACGGCAAGGGCGCGAAGGAGCTGAGTGGTGAAGTTGTCGAAAAAGTGGGTGGCGATGTTGGAGGCGATGGTCTCGACTGTGAGAATTGTGTTGATGAATGGGGCCGTCTATTCCATAAACGCCAATATTAGATTCTTAACAGAATGAGGGGGGAAAGAAAAAAGCACGAACCACCCCGAACCCCAATATAGAATTTTCGCTCCTGGTTCCGATATGCGAGGCAAGCACGTTTGGCAGCGTCGCCTCCTCGACTGGCACAACACACCGGACTTGGAGGTGAAGCTTAAGATTAAAGACCTCTCTCGAGCCCAAGAGCAGGAAATGCGAGAAGGCCGTTGTGGGCGTCGACGGCGCCGCGGGAAGGGAGGAGAAAGGCGGGGAGTTAAGAAGGGTGAGGTAGATTACTGTTGATAACAGCGTAACGGTTAGTCAACTTCAAGTGTCCAGCGCACGGATTTGATCGTCATCACACACGCCTGCAGCTTTTCGCGGAATAAGCTGTGCGGTCGCACCTTGCCGCATACGTCCCAGGACATCGTGTTTCTCCGCGGTTTCCAGCCCGTCCTTTCATTAGCACCGCCGACTACGACCCGTCACGACAACAATGACTAGGCTGCTCAGGAAAGCAGCAATATCACACCATTTGCTAATCGACAGCGCCAAACGGCCTCATCCTGCGCTGCCCAGCCCTTCCCATCAATGACAGAACAACCCGGACATCGCACGACGAGGGAGACGAACGGCGACGCTCCGCAAATGTCCTACAGTCGCAACAATTCCACACATGAGCCGGGCCGACACTCACACTTCGGGATTCTGATGATGGGCACCGACAACGACTGGGCCAGCGGGTAGCCGTCATGATGGTGCTGTTGAGGCTGCGGCTGATCCTGCGGTCGCTGCTGCTCCTGATGCTGGCGAAGCGGAGCCATCGACTTCAGAGCCGAGAGTTTGACGAAAATGGAGGTGGACTCGATGGGTGAGCTGCAGCGTCTCCGGAACGAGAACGCGTTGTTGAGATCCGAGCTCGAGGTTTGTCCCCATCTCTTCTCCCGTGTCGACACCTCCAGACGCGACCCTGTCCCAGGGCCTTCGTTTTGGCTCGACCTGATGAACGATCCTCCACAGACCAAGCAGAACGACCACACGGACCTCCTCTCGAAGCTCTTGAAGAAGGACCGCGAGGTCAACGAGATCAGGGAAACCCTGCGGTCCATCGAAGCCGTCTCTCGCCCTATGTTCGTGGACCCCATCGTCGTGGAGCGGATGCGGGCAATGGGACGTGAAATGCAGGAGAAGAACGAGCGGATCAAAAGATTGGAAGAGGAGATGAAGGGGGTGCAGTTTAGTGTTGAGAGGTACGTTGTTGCGTTGGATTACAGTGGAAGCGCGATACTAACAGCTTCTAATTTTGGGAACAATGTAGTTTGCTCGGCAAGCAACTTATCGAACGACTGAGGAAATTGGAGGCCGAGAACGAGGAGCTGGGGAGGTACCTGAGCAGGAGCCATGTCGAGCAGCTGAGGGTAGAGGTGCAGTTTCTGAGAAACAAGCTGGCGGTCATGGAGCTGCGGTGTGACGGGTGCAGAGAGGAGTATGACGCTGCGCACGCTGCTGGAAGCTTGGAGAAGCATATGGCGGCTATGAAGGAGGACTGATTGGGATTTTGAAGATGGGCGTGACGAGTAGTCGTAATTGCTGTGAGGGTTCGTTCAACAGCAGGTTGTGGAGCGATGGCACATTCATATCTTAAGATCAAAAAAAACGCGAGAAACGATTGGTTGAGTGGTGTAGTGGTTATCACACCTCCTTTACACGGAGTAGGTCGTGGGTTCGAACCCCACCTCGATCAACGTTTTTTTTTCCGCCAGCATTTGACTCGCGAATGAGGTTGTCAAGCCACCAATCTATAAGTTTATTTCTTGATTTTATTATCAGCAACGAGGATTTCGTGGCTGATAATAATAATAGTAAAAAAATGTAAAGTATATGGGACGTGATCCAGCAGATGTATCATTGTTTTCTTTGTTTATAATGAGGGCTCGAAATGTACACTAAATGAGCTAGAAAGCAATAAGCAATATTTGCAACTTTGGATCTCGTGGCTCTGGAGCCGCGAGATACTCGCGAGACAGACAAAAGTGGAAAAAAACGTTCAAAAACACGGAACAGAAAATTACGCAATGAAATGCAGGATGCAAGCGAAAGACAAAGAAATGGAGTGGAAAGGAGATCTGGCAATGCGAACAACGAACGAAGTCACTCACGCCTCGTAAAAGTAAACATCCACCGGTTAGAGCCCTTCCAAACCGTCCTCCCCAGCCTCGCCGTCCAAATATTCGCCTCCCTCGCCGTTGTCCTTGCAGTGCTAAACTCGACTTGGCAGGGTAGTTCCATTCCACCCTGGTCCTCCCGCCTGCATAGCGTCGCCATGATGAGCTGCAGCATGTCATAAGGGTGAGCCCCCTTCTTCTTCCCGTCTAGCATCCCCTTCACGGCCACATATGTAACCTTCCCCTCATCTCCCTGACGCCCCAGAAAATCCAGCAGCTTTGTCCCGGCTTCCCATTGGACCATCGTTGTCTTCCCAGACGACCCCATGTCCCTAACAACCTCCCGCAACCACCTCAAATACAACGACTCCGGCTCCACGACCTCCTCCTCCTCATTCGCAATCCTCTCCTCCTCCTGGCGCTGGTTTACCCAATGCCATCCCTGTTGCATTTTCATCACGCAAAAGGGTGCGACCTTGTGATGCAGTACTTCGCCTTTCTTTGTTGGCTGCTTGCAGCAAAGCAACCCGCAGAGAAGGCAACGAACGAACACCTGACCGTCGAACTTCTTGATATTCCAGGAGTCGTGGTAGCGTGATCGATTCGTACGCAGCAGTTGTTCCTCGTATGTTTCGCCCTCGGCAACCACGAACCTCCCCTGTCGCAGCATTTTCTCCAAATTTGCGACCATCAGTCGTCGTCCCTCACTGGTTCCGTGGCTTTTAGGGCGGCCCGCCAATCTCTGAGCCGAAGCAGGTCAAATTTTTGTACGGAGGCGACGGTCTTGGCAGCGGTCGCAAGGGCATAGGAAACAGACCGTGGTGGGTCAAAGCGGAGGTATAAGGAAGGATCAATCGTTGGCATAGAATCTGAGGCCACGTCCCGTGGCTCACGCTGACCCGTGGCCGCCACAACCGAGGCCCTCCTTTCCCTTCCCAGCCCGTCTTGCACCTTCCTGCTTCCTCCTTGTCACCTTCCTCAGCCTCCACACCCTGCTCACAAACTTTGCTCTTTCCTTCGCGCTTCTCCTCCCGGTGCTCCTCATCCGCGCCAGCAATCCAGCCAGCCCGCTCCTCGCGACACAAATCCGCTAGGTTCAGAAAGAAAGCTCGATGTTGTCCAAATGCTGCCGACCCCTCATAGTCGGCCAACCGCTTCCTTAGGTCTTCCAAACCTAGCCGTTCTTCGTCGGCGCCCAAAGCTCTCATCGCATCAGGTAGGTTCCTAATTGCCTCCAGCATGAGCGCCTCGACCTCAGGAGCGTGGTTTTGGAAGCACCAGGATGCAACCACCACAGGACAATCGTGAACATGCTATTGCGAGGTATGCGGCAAGGCACTCAGTATGATCACTTCACTTCAATTGTGTCTTATTCAAATTCTCACTGGCA